CTCACCTTCCTAGAGCTGGATGGAAAGGGAAGGACCTTGGACTTCCCACAGGGCAGGGAACCCTGACTGCTTTTAGGACTGGAGAGGGGGAGAGAGGGACGTGGGGGGAGGGGAAGGGAAATGGGAGGAGGGGAGGAGGTAGAAAATTTTAATAAATAAAAAAATAAATAAATATCAAGGAAAACACAATAATACACATAATTCAGACTCTTTGTATATTCCATCTTTATGTGGCTTATTTTTCTTTACTCCTTTAATCTATGACTGTTTGTACTCTTTTATATTATTTTACTGTCTCTTTAAAGACTTTGCTTTATTTTTTAAAACCATTTGCTTCTTTTTATAACTGTCTATATTATTTTCCCTGTCTCTCCCAGCCTATATACATTTTTAAACACACTGTGACCCATTCAGAGGTTTATTTTTGCTGGAATCTGTCTTTATTGCATATGTGTAAACATTTTCTAAGCAGGACTAACTTTAAAAAAATACTAAGTAGGCATGGCTAGGACCAACTCTGCAGCCCTGCCTGTTGACTCCACCCAGTTCAATCAACGTGGCAATGGTAAGTTTACCACCTCTGCAAGCCACACTCACCATTCCAGCTTCACTATTAAGCAACTAGTAGCACACTGCTCACAAATCCCATTTAAGTGCAGGACCTCCTGTACAAGTCAGAATTCCTGCTGCCATCACAAACCAGAAAGCAGGCTCTTAAAGGAGTTGCACAGTTTTTGCTACTAACTCTGAGTCAGGAAGATTTCTCTTAAATGAACCATGCTGTGGCGCGCTGCTTGACCAGCAAGAAAGAATGACCACGAGTTGAGGATTCTTCTCTGATCACACTTTATTGGAGCCTCTTGGTTGAAGGGAGAGCAGGAAGCGAGAGAGAGGGAGAGCACAGGGAGCAAGAGAGAGGGAGAGCGCAGGGAGCGAGAGAGAACAAAAGTCTAGAACGAAAAGCAGTTGCTTTTCTAGGGTGGAGAGGCTCTGATACTGTCTTGATTGGTGAATACCATTCCGCTGAAGCCCGGGGCTTTGGGCTAGGGAACAAGGCTCAGTTATGCAAATGCAGGCCAAGAGGATTTGTTTACCTCCAAGCTGTAGAACCGCCAGCGCCATAGTGGCGATGTCCTGATGGCTCCTTACAGCTCCCCCTTTTTGTTTTTGTAGAGCAATAAGGCAAAACCTATTTCCCAATCAGGTCTTCACCTCATGATCTGTGGATCGATTGAGGGAAAAGAAATAAGCAAGATACACCCTTCCCATGCAATGGGATAAAATTTTCCCTGGGAGTGCAAGGACTGTATCTATACACACTTGCCTATGCATACTTTCCTCTGTGCAATGGGACTATCTGGTCCCAAGAGGGTGCAAAGGCTATGCATGGCATATTGCCTACAAGCTCTTAAAGGCTGAAAGCCAAATCTGGGGTGAGGATCCACATTCCAAGACAGCCAAGGCCGGTTCTATAATGACCTTGTCCCTCCTCATTTGGGTTTGCAGATGGCACACCAACCACAGACATACCGCACATCCACCTAGGCAGCATGCCAAAAATATCCCTACTCCCACCCATTCCTTAAGAAAGGAAAAGGCAGAATAAAGCCAGTCAGAAAATAGCTCAAAGGTAAGAGGCTGCACATGAGGGCTATTCAAGATGATCATCCACAGTAGGACATTCAGCATCCACTGGGTCATCTTCATCCTTTGTAGCATCCTTCACTTCTCTGGTTAGTCTTGCTGGTACCCAGATTGGATCCTCTCGATTCTGAGGGAAAACACAAATAGCTCCCCTGGATCTGGAAATCACCGCATCCGGTCCATACCATTTGTTAACCAATACATCTTTTCACATGACCAAATCTTGCTCCGCAGAGCTTTCATACAGGGCATGCCTGTTTGCTGCTGTCTTTCCAGCATTGTTTTGAATTAAAAAATTAAGTGTAAAGAGTGCAAGGGAGATTCTTTCCCTGGGGGACGCTGCGTCAGCTATTCCCCCTTTTTGTTTTAGCAGAGTCTCCTTTAGGGTTCTATTTGCTCTCTCTACAATCCCTTGACTTTGCGGGCTGTATGGTAGGCCAGTGGTGTGTACAACTTATAGTTGCTTGCTTCGGGCTAGGGAACAAGGCTCAGTTATGCAAATGCAGGTCAAGAGAATTGTTTACCTCCAACCTGCAGGACCACCAGCATCATAATGGCGATGTCCTGACGGCTCCTTACACCATGCCTCTGCTTGTCTATAGCAAACAGAACCTATCTGAAACATGTGGTTCCAGAGAAGCTGCATTTGGTTCCCATTTTTGTGAATCAAGAAGCCCTCTTTTTATTCTTTTTTTTTTTAAAGCTTTTTTAGGTCTTATATGGATCCATGCCCCAGTCAGGGGATGGCATTTTGTAATCAGACTGCTTGCTTTTTTGCTGCCTGTCCATACCCAAACAATAACACAGAAACTATATTAATTACAACACTGTCTGACCAATGATTCAGGCATATTTCTAGCTAGCTCTTACATCTTGAATTAACCCATTTCTATTAACCTGTGTATCACCACGAGGCTATGACCTACTAGGAAGTTTCCAGGGGCATCTTTCTCCTTCAGCAACCACATGGCATCTCCTTGACTCCACCTACTCTCTCTACATATCTCTGTTCAGATTTCCCATCTGGATTTACTCAGTGTAGTTGGGGGTAGGCATCATAAAAAGTGTTAGAATTTCTTTCCTGATCATTCCTTGATTTGATTGGCATTTACTAGATGACATTAGAGAAATATTACTAGATGTTTTATCATCTGGTATTGTCTTAGATTCAATTATTTTAATTTCTTTCAATGATTCAAAAGAGGTGGAGTTTCAAGCTTATTAACTATGTCACCACTTGCAAAGATACTAGGACTAGCAAAATGGAGTTACATATTTGCAGGGGTCCCATAAAGATCTATTGGGGTTCCTTTTAAACAAGGTGTTAACGTTGGGACTTGGGATGTCATCTGTTCTCAGTTTAATAATCCATTCTGTAGAAGACAGAATGACTTTTCAAAATGGGAGTGGGAGTAAATGAGTGTATTACATAGAAGTAACATCTTTGTGAACATGGGACATTTAGCGAGCATTTCTTGAAAACTTATAAGGGAAGATGTGATGACTTGTAAATGTCCTTGAAACTTAGAAGTTTGTAGTACCAAAGCTATAGTTAGGAGGGTGATTCATTTATGGGATTATTTGCTTGATTATCATCTAGATATTTAGTATTTACTTAAAGAGATGGTGTGTCTTCAAATTAAACATGCTTCTTGAGAGTGATCAAGCAGGTTAAAATTCTATTGTATAACTTATTTGAAGACACAGACTTATAAAGCTCAGGGGGTGAAATGAGAGTTTATATTATCTACAGTACACAGTACCAATATAGATTTACCAAGCCCTTAATTATTGAGTCCTCATAGGTGTAAGTGAAGACTGCTCATTTGTTCCCACCTGCCCAGACCCAAATACTCACACAGAAGCTATATTAACTACAAGACTGTTTGGCCAATAGCTTATGCATATTTCTACCTAGCCATTATATCTTAAATTAATCCATTTCTATTAATCTGTATATTACCAGTGGGCTGTGACATGCTGGTACTGGCATGTTACTCTTTGCCAGCTACATGGCATCTCCTTGACTATATCTATCTCTCTATACATGTATCTCTTCCTGCCTTGCTATATTCTGCCCTGCCATAGGACAAAGAAGCTTCCTTACTAACCAATGATGATAAAACATATTCATAGCACACATCACATAGGCAAGCCATGTAGACTAGGCAAGAATCCTCTGGTGAGAGTCTGACCATATCATTGGCATCTGATGTGGGATACAGTGGGGAAAATATAGTTGGTTCATCATTTACAATGATGCATCTTGTCATGGAGAGTATCATTTCTCTGAGATGGCCACCAATGTTGAGTTTCATTACAAAAAAAACACATGTGACTTTGAGTAGAGAATGGCACCAGAGGTGATCACTGTGTGGTTCATTTATCCAGAGCTTGGATGTGTTTATATTCCAGAGTGTCTTAGAAAACATTAACCAGTATAAGAGATCACAGTCATCACTGGATATTTTGACGAGGAGTAAAATCGGTTCAGATTACCAGCAAGGCATGGCAGACTTGTTTATATCTGTGGGACTCTGATTCAGAGAATATAAATTAAATTTCTGATAAAATGTATGCTATGACATTACATAATCCTTTGGTATTGTATGAGTAGAGACTATGTTATCCAAATAGAATGAGCAAATCCACTGGAACCTGCAGGTAGGACCTTTAATAAAGATATGTGTGTATGTATATGTATATATATACTTTATATATCTATATTTGGTATAACATGTTATACCAATAGATCATTAGCATTTATACATAAGAAATTTTAAAATACAGGTCTCCTAAAGTATCTTGGATAAAACAAGGGAATTGCTTGTTTCTACAGAAGGGAACTCTTGTATGCTGTCTTTGTATGAATTGGAATCAGGACACAGCAGAATTTAGTTGGAATTCCATCTCTCATGTACAAATTCCATCCTCTGATACAATGGATCTGTTTATAAACTACGGAACTCAAGACCCTTGAAGACCAACTCCCCTCTTGGCTCCCTCCAAAGCCTTCTACAAAGAATACATTCTCCAGCTTTTTGGAGTTCTAATCTTTGCGTTTCTGAGACTGTCAACTGTTCTTCTCATGTGTATCTTGCCTTCCAGACCACATGTGATGCATTTTCTTGTTGTTTGAAGGTCAGGATAAACACTTATTTATTAATATTTTCTAATTGCTACTTCCCAAAAGGATGAGCACTCTATCTATATCTACTCTAGATATGTCAATAAAAAAGCTGTTATCTCTTAAACACTGCTCATGAATATCCAGATAAAACAGTTTGAGGTCTTAACAAGGCAGGAAGAGGTAAAGCATTCAAGGTATATATATACAATATTCACACAGAAGTAGGTGAGGCTGAAGAAAACTATTTTTATTTATCTGCAGAAAAGAACTAAAATTTAGTACTTTTGCTACCTCACATATACTCATAGCTCAAACTGAGGGTGAGTTTCTAAGCAACATGATTGAAGGTTATATATTCAGCTTTCAGCATATCAGAGTCCAGTATCACACACAAGAGCTTCTAATAGACCCATGGCAACGACCTCCATGTTAATACTCATCACAGAATGGAAAGCTGGGATGAGCCTTGAACCTGCAATGAGAGAGAACAATGAAAGAGAGAACAACGAACAATGTGCCCGATGACAATTTCTAGTTTTCAATTTCTATGGAGATGGCCACTGAGGTGAAAGTTGAAAATTTTTTTTCTAATAATTCAAATGATATGTGTTCTTACTTTTACAAACAGTATTTCATAATAGAACTGAGGAAGAACAAATGAACTGTCCATACACATTTTCCTTGGAACTTAACACATAGAGAACCCAGAGTTAATCGTTCAAATATATACACCGTTTTATAAAGCAAAAAAAAAAAAAAACCAACCATTTCTTTATACTTCAGATTCTCAATGAAGCAGAAACTGATTTTGTCTTATTTTAAATTGGGCAAGTCAAGTTATGTATTTGATAACAATGAATATTTTGGGGGGACAGTGAGATGGCTAAGCCGCTCATCTAGCTTAGGTGACCTAAGTTAGATACTTGGGACCTGCATGGAAAGAGGTCAGGATCAATGGCTGCAAGTTGTCCTCTGACCTTCACATGCAGGGTTTGTGTGAGAACACATGCACACCAAGTTAAAAAGTAATAAACAGTTCAAAAGTACTCTGAAGTGATGAAGTAATTGATAGCAGCTTATTGTCAGTTTTATTCAACCATTAATTATTCACTAGCTGATAATTGTGCAGGTTATGCTTTGTTAGATTCAGAACTAGAAGGAATGTCATTTATAAGACTAAAGTTCCATGTCCAAGGCATTTACTCTAGCAGCATGAAAGTAATAAAATAATTTATCATTTTAATAGGAGCAAAAATCACTGATTGCTTGCCAGTATTTACATCTCTTTAAATAAGAGGTTATAGATTGTAATGATAATGTAAAATAATATAATTATAATAATATAATAAAAAGAGGTTCAGTAAAATATTACTTGATTAATCTCTTTATATTATACATTGTTTTGTAAATTATATAGAGTTATAGGTAGCATGAAAGAAAGTAATGATTGTCTGCTGAGTATACATAGTGTTTTATTTACCACAAGAATCCAGACTTTCTTGAGAAAATGTTTGTCTAAGTCCTGAACACACATACAATGCAGAGAAAATGAGAGGTTTGATATTATTAAAGCCAGTTCCATATGGAGAGGGGTAAGAGCTGCTGACCTGGGGCACAGAGATGATGGAATTGCCTTTGGTCTGATAAGAAATTAAATAGATTTTAGAGATGATACTGTGAAATTGATCATTACAATACCTGAACATGTGACATTGAAATACCCAGAATATCTATCTATAGGTTACACACAGAATCAAAAGACCTGCAGGGACAATATAGACTCAGCAATGATGTGGGCTCTTCCGGCTCATTCCATGACGTTGATACAAGAGGGGCAGGTGCATCAGATCAAGGTGACCCTGCATCTACTTTTCTTTTGCTGTGTCCAAGAGTAAAACTCTGACTGAGTCTAGAAAGATAATTCTAGAAATCTGTGCCTTATCTGACTCTGAGTGTTCTTTGACTTCCTCATGCTGAGGTAACTTCTGACACACATGCTATTAATATATTCTCCTTAAGGAGAGAACCATCAAAATTACAAAGGCTATGAAAGTTACTTACATATCAGCAGGAAAATACCGTAAATTTCTGTCCAAACCATCTAGAATTTTCATATGATCTGAAGCCAACTGGAAATCAAAAACCTGTTATAGAAGAAGAAATGCTATTTTAAATATATATATTTACAGAGAACAATTGTCAATCTGAAGCAATAGACAATACTTAAAATACCTGAGGAGGTCCCTCCAGTTTTTAAAGTCATCAAGCAAAACTTTGAAATCCAGATTTAAAAATTAAATGGAAATTATATCACCACACATAATATATAAACCTACAGATGAAGATTTCAAAAGAAGCTGGAAAAGAAAGAGCTGACAGGATTCAAAAGAGATAATGTTATGTATGTGAAAGAGTTAGCAAAGTGCAGAGACAGTTTTGAAAATATACTTCAGTAATTATCATGGATACAGTTGCGTTTCTATATCTTAGCCACAAAAACTTAGGATGAGGGGGAAAGTCATTTTCAATATTACTTAAAGTAAGAATTGCCCAATTATTAATGAATCCTGGTCAAAGGACTCAGAAACTGACTGGAAGATGATTCATTAGATATAATTCCAACCAGTTTTATCATTAAAAAAAAAGATGATCGTTAACTGTTACAGTATTAATACATGGGTTCATAACTGATTGGTGTTACTCTAAAAGAGTGTTATAGAGAAATATACCAACAATTTAAATGCTGAAAAATTTAGGTAAGAGATTACTGCTTAATTTATTAAGCTTTTTGTACACTTGAAAATTCGAAAATTAGATCTGAAAGATGTGGGATGCATGAAGAAGACAGCTTTAGTGCCCAGGTTCTGGCGTCCTCGTCACCTGCATGTTCTCCCTGATATGCTCCTCATTGAAGCTCTTGGCCAGGACCACAATTCCACGCTGCAGCTGGTAGCGAAGGGCAATCAGGGCAGGAGTCCGCTTGTACTTCTTTGCCATGGCACAAAGAACTGGATCTTCCAAGAGAACTGGGGTATCCTCATTAGTACTAGAGGGAAAGACAGTTTCCAGAAATATGTTGCTAGGGTTGAACACAGATGAAAATGGCCACAGGGTCCAGGAATTCTCAAATGTAGTCAATGTACTAGTAGTTAATATTCTCTGGAGACTGTCTGAAATGTAACCCCACCTTGACGGAGAGTAAATTCCAGAAACCTGGCTATTGTAAAATGAAGAGTTGTGACTTAGAGATAACTTCTGCTGTTCTTATTACCAATTTTTATATCTCTGAGTTCCCAGAGCACCATAGGCAACCAGAACAATATCGTTCATCTTGCAGTAATCCAGCAGCTTGTTCTGGTTAAGGTAAGGATGACATTCGACCTGTAAACAGAATAGGAAGGTATAAAATTATATGAAACAACTTATTTATATCAAAGAAATAGTAAAGGGAAGGAAGCTGGATAAAATAATCAATATGAGCATTAAATTTGAATTGGGCGTATCAATGCCATATCATGATCTTTTCAAATAAATTTAATATCTCTCTTGGGAAATTAAAATACAATAATTTTCTTGAGATTCGGTAACCCCATTGTCCAGATCTTGGATGCTAAATACCAATGTTTACTGTGGGAGACATGAAAAACTCTATGAACTCATAGATAGGGTTTTGAATACTGACTCTTGACTAAAGCAAGGATTTGGTCAAAGATTCAGTTGAGATAAAGTCTGAAAGAAAACAGGAAGTTTTGTCAATGATACTGAGTGGATTTCTGCATTAGAAGAAGAATAAATAAATTACAAAGAAGGAAGGAGAGAGGGAGTCACACACAGAAAGAGACAGATAAGAGAGAGACAGAGACAGAAAGGGGGGAGGAGAGAGGACAAAAAAGTGTTGTCCTCTAATGATGGTGGTTATTATATTAACTCCTTTCTTACAGTAGCAACATTTAAAGGAAAGAAATCAAAGTATAGCTTATCTTACAATTTGTAAGGTTTTTTTGGACCATATAACCAAACTCTTTTTTACCATAATATGTCATGTGAGAAAAGTAAATAACAATATCAATATGTATGCTAACATCAAGGGGGTATATGTCACAGGACTCATCCCTAGACAAAGAATGATAGGCAAATAATACTGCTGGGAGGAGGAGAATTAGATTCCCTAGGATGAGTTCCCTTACTGGTTGTCCAGTGAGGAGTGGTCAGCCTTGAAACCATATACACACACAATTAGACACAATTAGCAAAGACAGTCTCAAAAATCTAGATATTAAGTAAGCAAATAATTTAAAAAAATGGGATACAGATCTAAACACTGTTCTCAGAAGAGGAAGCTTAAACAGCTGAGAAACACTTTTTAAAAAGTTCAATATTCTTAGTCATCAAGGAAATGCAAATTAAAACTACTTTGAGATATCACCTTACAACCAGTCAGAATCGCTAAGATCAGCAAACCTCATGCTGGCAAGGACGTACAGAAGAAGAACACTTATCCATTGCTGGTGGGAGTGAAAAAATTGTACAGCCACTATGGAAATGAAAGTGGTGGTTCCCCAGGAAGATGGGAATTGATCTATGTCAAGATCCAGCTCTACCAATCATGGACATAAACCCAAAGAATGCTTCACCCTATCACAGAGACACTTACTTGTTCAACCTTGTTCATTGCTATCCTATTCTATGCATAATAGCAGACATTGGAAAAAAAACATGTTCTTCAACAGAAAAAAAATGGATAAAGAAAATGTGGACCATTTTCTTGACTCAATATTACTCAGCTATCAAAAAAATTAAATCATGATATTTGGAGGCAACTGGAACTAGAAAAAAATCATCCCAAGTGAGGTAAACCAGACCCAGAAAGACAAATATGATATGTATTCATTTATATGTGGATAGTAAGCTGTTAAGTCAATGAAAACCAAATTACAATCCATAGAACCACAGAGGTTAGGTATAGAGTAGGGGAGTAGAGGGTACAGATAGATCTTGTTAGGAAAGGGAAATTGAATATATTGTTATGGAAGGATGGTGGGGGGAGGGACTGAAACAGGAGGAAAAAGTGGGGAGGTACCAGGGAGATAGTGATGAGGGAGTGAACACATGAGGAGCAGCTAAAACTAAGGGCCATTTGCAGGGCAGAAAAGAAACCCAATGTGGTCAAAACTTCCTAAAATGTATACATAAATGAAGTGATCTAAATGAAATCACCAAATAATGGGGAAGATAGAGTCCTAACTAGCCATCTTTTGATGCCAAATGAAGCACTCACTACTGGTATTGGGGTACATCTAATTGAGTTGTTGACCAGAGGGGTCCCACGGGAATTCCCAAAGAGCTCAGGCTGTTGCTAAGACTTTAGCTTGCTTCTGCAAACTGAGGGACAGACCCATTGCTGAAGACAGCACCTACACAACTCACTGAACATGGGGAAGTTGAGCTAGTGCCTACATAGAGCCTTCTGTCCCACATTCTAGAGTCTTTGGTACAGGAAGGTACTCTGCATGCTACCAAAGAAGAAATGTAAACACCAATCCAGGTGTAATCTTTTTGTTCTACAGTGGCATCCTGCCTGCAAGATATACTAGTGCAATGGTGGCACAAAGCTTGTGGTAGTAACAAAGTAAGATGTAATTTATCTTAAGGCCCACTCAGTGAGATCGAACCCTGACATTACTTGGTTGTTACATACCTAAGACAGTCCTGCGACCTAGGGTAAAGGCAGACGCTACTGTCCTACCTAAAGAATATAACAATAAAATGACTCCTAATGACATTCTGCTGTGTTTTTTGATCCGTGCCTTAATCAGCCATCATTAGAGTAACTTTCTTCTGCAGTACATGTGGGTCTCTGGACACTGAAAGACGTTGGGACATCTATCCCTAAAGCGGATGTTCCCATCATATCTCTGGCCCCAGAGTACATGTGGGTCTCTGGACACTGAAAGACGTTGGGACATCTACCCCTAAAGGGGATGTTCCCATCAAATCTCTGGCCCCAGAGTTCAGAGACCTTTATGGAAGAGGAAGTGGAAAGAGCATAAGAGTCAATTGGGATGGAAGACACTAAGAAAAAAATGACCACTAAATCAATAGAATCAATATTTATATGAATTTACAGAGTCTGAGGCGGACTGCACAGGGCCTGCTCAGGTATGAACCAGATGGTGTCCTAGACCAGAAAGAAGTGGATCAAAGTCTCCATCTCTAACACAGAATCAATCTCCAACTAATAACTGTTTGTAAATGAAAATTTAGTTTGCTCCAAAGTGTTCTCACTAGGGAAACAAATTACTCTTAAAGGTAGGCTGCATGCCCAGCAGTATATGGCCAAGAGAAACAAATTCAATCATCATCTTTGGATATTTCCTGTCTCATAATGTCACTTTTAAAAATTTATCTTATCTATCTAATCTAAAATCACATATTTATATGTTTAGATAAATATGTGCCCCCATAGAACCTTTGCATATATATTATGACTCCCAGTTTAATGGTTTGTATGAATTTCTGAGAGAACAAACCAGTGCGCTTCTGCTTCTTGTGCCTTTTCTTGTGCTGATTTTCTTCATTTAGTTTTGTCTGATGTATTAGTCTTTGTTCTATTTTATTTTATTATTATCCCTTAGAAGATTTTTGGTTTCCTAATGAGAGCTAGCATGAGGATGGATCCAAATGGGAGAGGAGGTGGGGAGAAATGCAGAAGGAGGGAAAACTGTAACCAATATATATTATGTGAGAAAAATGTATTTTCAACAAAAGGAAAAAAAATCTTACCTTTAAAAAGAAGAGATCTGACTATGTCTAGCTTTACTAAATGATCACATCTGGCATCACTAGTTGCTAGAACATTTAGGTCTGGCTTAATTGTTTTTAACTCTAGCTGCCTTCACTTAAAGTTGGAAACTCCACTAATTTTTAGCTTCCTTTGATCTAACGCTCTAACTACAATAATGGATGAGAGCACTTAATTTTTTTCAGTTGGTATGTTGCGTAGTACGTAGGAGTTATTTCTATAATTTATTTTCAATGGGTTCTTAAATATGTGTTCAGATATAGACACTTGCATTTGCCTGTATTATAGAATATGGTATAACTAAATCATTTTAGACCAGTGGTTCTCAACTGTGGGCCATGATCCCTTTGGGTTGAATGACCCCTTTACAGGGTCACATATCAGATATCTGGCATGTCAGATACATTACAATTTCTAACAGTAGAACAGTAGCAAATTACAGTTATGAAGTAGCAATGAAAATAATTTTATGGTTGAGAGTCAGCACAACTTAAGGAGTTGCATTAAAGGAATGCAACACTAGAAAGGTTGAGAACAATTGTTTAGACACACTGATATGTTGTATCATTCCAATTGTTCTAAAAGTTTGAATGTGATTTGTTATATAACTGGTGTATAAAACATTATTTCTGTGTTATTTCTTTGAAATTTATGACATTTATATTTGAAAATAATATGTTACTTGTAACCAACACATACATGTCACATTTTTCCAACTGAGAACACATGTCTTCCTTTTTTTTCTAAGACAGGTTTTTTTTTCCTGTGTAGTCCTGGCTGTCCTGAAACTCACTTTGTAGCTCAGGCCTCAACCTCACAGAGATCCATCCGCCCTTGCCTCCCAAGTACTGGAAATAAAAGCATGCATCACCACGGCCAAGCCCACATTTCTTATGTGTAAGTTATAAAAAGTATCTCAGATCACATCATCGGCACACAATTGATGTGGTTAGGCACTGGATCAACTCTTAAGTATTGATACAGTTTCCTCGGTGTGGATTTCAGCTACTACCAGTATTGCCTACTCTCCAATGTTCCTTTATTGACTCAGTCTCTGGCTGATCATTAGTATATCAGGTATAAGTGAATCTTCCTTCTGAAGTGTGCCTAATAACTTCATCTCCAGATGATAGCCTTGACTTCTCTAAACTGTTTTCACATTATGGTCTCCCGGCATCACTGTTTTATTTTCTAAGCAAAGACACAATTATGAGCCCTTCAAGAACCCTGGATGAAGGATCTGCTCTTAGTACCTTTTGTTCTACAAAAGAAAGATGAGCAAATAGGGGGGATACACAGACACCTGTCAACAGGACATGAAGGAAGCAGAGAAAGCCTGAAAGAAAATGGATAAAGGAGCTCACCTGATTGCACACAGGCTTATACTTGAGACCTGGTTTGTTCAAAATCATTTCCAGCAGCCTACGGTTAAAGTTTGACACCCCAATGGACTTGGCTAATCCTGCATCCTTACACTTCTCCATGGCCTGGGAAGAAAATATTGGTGGAGAATAATACACACAATTGAAATCTGATTGAAATATAAAGCAGTGTTGTTAGAAAGAACGGTGCCCAAAAAGGTAAGTGAAGCTGGCCAGTATTTATTGGTAAGAACTGATGATTAATAAAGAAAATGGCAGAAAAGGTGATGACAATAAGGTAAAGTCCTGTGCTCTCCTTAGGCAATCATGATTATCATATAAGGAGGAAAGCAGGTTACAGTTATCCTCCACATTCACTTTGGTTTTACTATGCATTTTCCTACTACTGAAGCAGAACATTCATGAGAAAGACCATAATGTCTACAGCAAAGAGAACTCATCCCTTTCCTACACATGCAGTTGTGTGAACTGGACCTTTTTTCAGCAACATTCACTGAATTGGTTCTTTGATGATGTCCTGTATGTATATAATGCCTTCAAAATGCTGTAATCCCCGTAACCTCTTAATCTCTCTCCCACATCTGTTACCTGTCTTTCCACCCTACAAGCCTCTTTCCAGCATTCATTTCCTTCTGTTTTGAGGCCTTCAGAATTTAACCAGGATTATTTATGTGATCATGGATTTGGAAATATCCGTTGGAACCTGGTGGGTTCCTGAATGGATACCCAACTGAAGACAACAACTGCCCCTTCCCCAGAATCCATCACCAGTAAACAGTTCACCAGGGAAGGATAGGGCTCCAAGAGTCCTTCCAGGGTTGATAACTGGCTGCTGGCAGACTCGATCTTGTTCCTGCCTATTGGGCTATTTGCGGGGAGGAAGCATCTGCTGAGAGATCATGTCTGCATTGCCTGTGTCGTGCCCAGAACACAGCATTCTTCTTTCTATCTTATGGCTCTTAACTTTTTTCTGTACTTTTTTCTGAGATGTTCACAGAGTCCTAGAGGGACTAATCACTCAGCCATCATATCTTCTTACTTTCTCTATTTCTTCTGTGGCATTTATTATAGTCACTCACCTCCCATGTAGCACAGAGATCCACTTTGTCAAGTATTAAATTTCCATGCTCATCTTGAGGTAAAAGATTGTCCCCTGGCTGAAATAGTTGCAGTCATTAGAGAGGGCTTACCATTTTAACATCTCTTCCTGTAGCTATACTCCCAGATAAATTTATGTCTGGGAATTAAACCCCTAACATAGGTGGAACAACTTTTTTTACATTAATAAAGTGCCTACATTAATAAAGTTTATGATCTTTCTATCAGCAACAGGACTTTACTTTTCATATGTGTAATAATAAACAATACATTTTCATAGCCTGTGTCATGTAGTAGTTGACACACTATTTTTAATACACCTATATATTTCCCTGTTGCAATGTCCATCTTTCTCTGGCAGTTTCACTAGTGTTGTGGCACTGATTTACAATTCAACAATTATGAGTTGTAAGCTTGACACAGGATAAATAATCAGGGCTTTAAATGATGCCTTTAGTACTCTGAGTGAATGAATGACAGAAAATAAGGAAAGTGAGAAAAAGTTCATTGATTTTCTGCAAGGTGGACTTTGATGTTGGAACATGCAGGAGGCCATCAGATATGAATGAGCTTGAGCTTTGAGCTAAAGGCCTTATTATCATCAGTATAAATGGCTGAAACAAAACTGACTAGACCTCTAATAGTACAGAGTCAGGGTATAACTAAGTGAAGCTAGTTCCAAAGACTATTTCGTCGTTTTGCTCATTTACATGATGTGGTAAACATTTTCATGTAAGTTAGCCTGAGGAGTGTGTTTAAATTTTCTTACTTCAATTTGTTTATTTATTTATTTTGATTTTTATTGAGCTCTACATTTTTCTCTGCTCCCTTCCCTGCCTTTATTTATTTCTGTTTTTTGGTGTGTGTGTGTGTGTGTGTGTGTGTGTGTCTGTGTGTCTGTGTGTACAACAAAGTGATGATCATAGAATAACTTGTAGGAATCAGTTCTTTCCTTTCACTATTTCTGCAGCCACACCTTGTTGTTTTATAACTTTTATTAAATAAATTGAGATTATATAAATTTTATATATTAAATCCATCTACTCACAAAATGAAGGTCATGTGACAGTTGAAGTTAGGTAGTTTGATATTGCAAACTGCCTACCTTCAGAGACACTGGGAAATGAATGAGATAGAGGTCAACATAGTCCAAATTAAGTTTCCTCAGTGAACTTTCCAAGCTGGGTCTGACCAACTCTGGACGATGGGAAGTTGACCAAAGCTACAAAATACAAAAAATGGGAGTTGTGCTGGATCAATAAATTGGCATAATCAGTTGCTTTCTGTCACCTAGTACTGAGAAACTTACAACTTAAAATTTCACCTTAAAATTGACCACAAGAAAAATATTTGCTTTCATCATGAATATTTTATGGTGGTATCCATCTACATAAATTTTTTATGTTAGTGGTTGTTATTAGTAAATATAAAAAATGGAAGGAAATTTCTTAATATATAAATACGTTATCAATTTTTACTGTAATTATGTCTTAGAGAGCAATTTAATATTTTAATTCTCCTATACACTGAACTCAATGGGAAAAATTCAGTATCGCTTTAATTTATATAACTAACAAAAAACTTTAAATATTTTAATATATTGTAGACACAGTACTAGACATTTTAGCTATTTCTTAATTTAACATCCAGAGGATTATTTTATAATGTTCTGTCTTATCTGTCAATGTGATATATATTCATAAATACAAATTTTGGAAATAATTCAGAACATAAGGGACTTGTAGTAACAGAAGAGCTTTCTCTGATAACATAGCTCATGCTAAGTCATAGCAATTTTAGAAGAGTCTTAAAAAACAATGAGAATTTGCACGAAGCTTATAAACTGAAATGCAGCAATGCCGAGGCAGCCATCACCTACCATGTTTAATACTGAATCCAATAGGTGGGCATGAATAAATTAAAAGACTGACCTATAAATACAATTCACCAACAACAGGTTTAACCACACTATTTCATCTGAATACATCCCCCTTCCTTAATCTGCACAATCATGCACTGTGTATTTAATACCTTTGAAGTATAAAATATATCTTCCCTTTTCACAGTGCCATCTTCAATCTTGCTTCGAATGGCCTGTCCCACCTCTTCTTCATTTTGGTAGAAGTGAGAACAATCAATGTGGCGGAATCCAACATCTATAGCTATTTTGGTAGATTCCATAGACTTTTTCTTGAGATGCTAAAGAAATAGAAATAAACAGTATTTAAACATATCTGTGATTATGTTAGTATAGGCAATAACTTTTATAAGAAACAATTTCCCTCGTGTTTCCATTTAGTTCTGCTTGGAGTGATGGATCCACCCACATTTTACTGGGTCTTTCCTACTTCAATGATAACATTCGTAAGAGATCTAAGTTTCCAGATATTAGCTGAGTCTCATCTGAAAATAGTGACTCTTGTAACTTAGAAGCTATGTTAAACTTCTAAGCAGTTAAATAATATACACATCACAAATAAATATGCACAATGAAGATGGATCCTCAAAAGACATAGATTTATACAAAGAATCTATCCAGATCAATCACAAAGGAAAATTTCAAGAAGTTGTCAGATTTTACAACAAAATTCATAATTTTAGGAAAATTATAAAGCAAAATTTAAATTATTATCTTGTCTACCAAGTGTGGTTAAAAAGTAAAAAATGGTGAACTAGACATGTTTATTTATTATTCACTAATTAAAATGCACCCTTTATTTCACACTTTAACTTTGATGATAAGAGGAATAGAGTAACTGTAAACATTCTTTTATGAAACAGTGTTAAAGGTTTTTCAGGCAAATAATAATCATAATGTTTCTTAAAAAGAAAAAGTTAAGCAGATGATGGCTGCCCTAAAGGAAAAGTCTCAGAGGGAAGTAGCAAGAGATCTTTTGAATGTGTGTTATGACTTTGGGAGCTCCTACAGACACCTGTGTGACGATGGCTGTCCTGGATGGGAGAGAGGGAAACCATGAAACTAGTATGAAAATACTTCCATGTTTTATCAAGCACTTCAGAAACCAAACATGGGAACTCATCAATTGGATATATATGACTCTTCTTAGCCTTGTAACCTCATAGAAATCTAAAGGTAAGTATTTTAATTATTAAATCAAGAATTAAACACCACTACTGAAAGAGAAAAGTAATCATCATTTTATATATATGCAAACCCTGCAAACTTCAGTAACGACTTCGGAAGATACGCACACTGCTACATAGTGTCATAATATCATGAGACTAACTAGCTGCTTTTTTACTTTAAGCCCTAGCCCACAAGACACATCCCAAACCTGGCATCCTTACTGGGGTCATGAACTTGTGATTGGACTAGTTATAGGCCGCTTAAGAAAAAATTAAACAGATGTAGAATTAAACTGGCTACTAATGACTTATCCTTATATCTATAGATTAGATTAATCTCTCTATTGTCATCAGAGAAGGTAATCAAGATATATTGTATGAGGGACTGAACGAGGACGCAATCCAACCAGATTCTCTGAATGGGGCCGGATTCTCTGAATGTGGCTGGCCCGGAGTCTTTCTGAAAAGCCATTGACTATGACACTGGGACTTGTTTCCTCTGCATATACTGGATTTTGCGGATCCAGTCTGTTTGGACTCTCACCTTCCTGGACCTGGAGGGAGGGGGGAGGAACTTGAACTTCCCACAGGGCGGGAGACCCTGACTGCTCTTAGGGATGGAGAGGGAGGAGGAGGAGAGGGAGTGGGGGGAGTGAGAGGGTGGTGGGAGGAGGGGCAGAAATGGAAACTTTTATAATTTAATAAAATTACTTTTAAAAAAAAGATATATTGTATGAGATAAGAATCTATTCTTAACAAAAGGGAAAAAAAAGTTAAAAAGGCCATAGATCTGAAAGAGAACAATGATTCATGTATATCCAGAAAAGTGAGAGCTACTTTTAGGAGTTTTGTAGGAGACTAAAACAAACTGTGGGGCTAACATAAAAATTAGCATATAGATAAATTGGATGGACTAAACTCATAGACGTGAATTCATTCTCCAAATGATTCTCAACCAAGGTCCTAAATAAGAATAAGAAAAAGCACAGGGTTTTCAATCAGTGACACTGGGAACACTGAATATCCCCACACAGAGGCTAGAAATGTGACTGAAATCTGCTACCTAGTAGTAACATTAATCAAAACAAACAAAGACATTAATATCAGAACTGAGATGATAAGACTACTATCAAGGACATGAAGGAATCTCTTCAAAACATCACATAAGCAATTTTAGACTTTGTCCTCCAAAGCACAGAACAAAATAGCAAAAGTACACAAGTGACAAAATACCAAGTTAAAAATTGTTTGCATAATAGTGGAAACAGTCAACAGTGTAAAGAAAGCAATCGACAGAAGAGGAAAAAATGCCAATCAATTATTTCATAAAAACTAATATCCAGAATTTATATCAAACTCAGTAAGAACAAAAATCAAGCAATTACACATAAAAATGCATTAATGGATTGAATAAACATATTTCAATAGTTAGCAAATATAATGGCTACGTTATATATATTATTAGATAGGGTTAATAACTAAGTTTTAATTTTTCTTCTTTTCTGGGAAGCAGATCAAACAGAAGGAAAATCTTTGGTATTCAGACCAGAATAGTGAATGATCACATGATCAAACCTGGACACACAGTCTGCCTTTCTCTTCTTACAAGGCATAGCTCTAACCTGGTGAAGCAGTAGAACCCTCCAGAATTGCACAGGAATTGGTAACTTTCATTCTTTTAAGTTTGTATTCATTCCAGTCCTCACCAGCCCAACACCAGCCCTGTTACCTCTTCAGTCACATAGGTGCCAAAGCCCAGTACAGGAATGGAGTGACCATCATTTAATTCCATTTTCTGAGCTTTGGAACTCATCCTCACTCACTCCTCTGACTTAGAAGACTCTCTTTTTGTGCTTTCAGAAGGCAGTGAACAGTGCAAAAAGTATAGTTCCAAATGTGTGTGACTAATCAGTAACCAGTGGTACGGAGGCGGAGCAGGTTACAGCAGTATCCTCCTTATAAGGAAAGAATTGACACCAGTCCACTTATTTTTATACAAAAGAGAGCTTGTTAGAAACTCCTACACAGTGACCACCAAATGCTTTTATTTAATAAATTTTGTCATTGGAATACTCCATTCATTATTTAAATCACTGCAGGAGACTGTTCATTGACCAATTCTAGAATAGAAAACTTGAGGTGTCTACTTTCTTAGTTTTTCTTGTTACGAAGGAGACTCTCATTGTTCGGACACCATGCGACAATCCAGAGTATTTCAAAGCCTACAATGGTCATCTTTGCTTCTCTTCCATTTTTATTTAGCTCATTTTTTTAGAAATAATGTCTACAATACTTGAAATACTTTTCTACATAGAATGATCCCCAGTTCCCTGTGAAGGTGATCAGGATACCTTGTTCTTTTGTCCACTTTCTCTTTCTGTTATCTCCTTTCTGTATTTTGTAGTTTTAATGTAGCTTTCTGTTTTTGTGCTTTATGCTTCTTGGAAAAATGAAAAATTGAAGACATATCATTATATTTTATTTCATAGAATATTTTGGAGATTAAGGTGAAATTTAAGATTGATTTAAATAATGGAAAGTAACATAAAATAGGGATAAAACAGGGATAGAATTAAACAAACATATTTATTAATCCACATGGAAACTGCCACACTCATAAAAGCTAAACTAAGAAGAGAGTTTATGTGTCTAAAATACTGGTATTGATCCAATCTATGTTTTTACTGAGAACAATTTGCCATAACCATCAACAAATTGCTAGGTAATTAGTTCTGAGAGACAAATGACTCATCTCTATATTGTGTAAAAAAATTCCTTTCACAAAGTCACATGGGGGAAATATAAAGATAGATCTTTATTTTCTTGCATTCAGCACTATGCAAAATATCTTCATTCTTTGTACATTGTTAGGAGAACATTCTGCTATTTATCCCAGCACTCAGGAGGCAGAAACAGGCAAATCCCTGAGTTTGAGGCCAGTCTGGTCTACAGAGCAAGGTCCAGTGCAGCTATGGTTGCACGGGTAAACCTTGTCTCAAAAAAAAAAAAAGTAAGTAAATAAATAAATAAGATTTTGAATAGTCACTCTGGTCTGGTAATCATGAGAAGACACTGCCATATTTAAATCATTTTTGTGGAGAAAATTCCTTACCTTTTTTTTTAAAAAAAAAAAAGACAAACTATCTTTTTTCATTGTACATACCAACCCAAGTTCCCACTGCCTTCCCACCTCCCATTTCCTCCACAAATCCCACCCTGCCCCCCATCCACTCCTCAGAAAGAGTAAGGCACATTGCTTTGGGGAAGGTCCAGGGCCCTCCCTACTTTATCTAGGCTGAGCAAGGTATCCATCCAAAGAGAATAGTTTCCCAAAAAGCCAGCCCAAGCAGGAGGGATAAATCCTGGTGCCACTGACAATGGCCTCTCAGTCTTGTTTCGGACCCAAGTCTCATGCTGCTCTCCCATTCATGGTGATTCAGAAACCAAATGCCCTATTTGTCTGTAGCAAGTTTCCCGTGGACATACTTAATACAACATTTGTTTCTGAGTTTTTGAAAACATGGATGTGTCATCACAAAACATAGAGAAGGTTCTGAAAGTCATGTTCTTAGATTAAGAAAAGAACCTTCAGAGAAAAGCACTATCGCATAGAAGAACTAATAGCAACTCAAAGATTTTTAGTATTTATCTGCATAAAAGTGGTACATGCAGAGCGTCTTAGAATCAGTAGTCCGCGCCGAGCTTGGCGCGGTTTGAGGCAGGCGAGAAACTCCTCTCCGGGCCTAAGAGTGAACTGTTACTTCCAGATCCAAGAAGACCCAGTAAGGAATCTTGGTGATGATGTCCTGCGACTTACGTAATTAGCTCCCAGTATGTCCTTTTCAGTGGCTATGTCTCCTAGATCAGACTTTCTGGGCAACTCTCACGTGCTGTGGTCAAGGAGAGTGATGGGACCGAAGGACTCACAGAACCACAAGCTGCATCAAAAGTGCCAAATTCCTAACAGAGAGCTCTCCCTAAGTTAAACCTTAACAAGTCCCGAACTACCAAGAAAGTTCACTGCAGTTTTCTTGAGCAGATTGTGGATTATATCCACCCCCAACCACCATCACCACCACCACCACCCCTGCATGCCACTTTCTCCACCTCTGCTGAAACAGCTAAGGGAGACTCTAGATGGGGCAAAGCTGCTAGGAACCTGACATCAGAGCCCCCTAGTCACCTCTCCATTGCGAGGCTGGGATGCATCATGATCGCCCCCTCGTGGCGTGGCCAGAACAAACAGCCACCAGGGAAAAGTTGCTGGGCCAACAGTACCTATGTAGTTCTGAAACTGAAGTCTTTAAGATCAAGCAACAAAATTCACATATTCTAAATATTAATCCTCTTAGAGTATCAGAAATACTTATTGAGATATTTTCCCAATGTCTATGTTCATTTTTACAAGACATATTTTTATGAACAAATGCTTCCACCGTGTGTGTGTGTGTGTGTGTGTGTGTGTGTGTGTGTGTTACTCTGGTTTGGTTTTTGAAGCAGGTTCCTATGTAACTCAGCTAGCGAGTTATGAAGTCCAGACTAGCACGAAATTTCAGTTCATCCTGCCCTAGTCTCCTGACTACTGGGATTCTCGGCGTGTGTCACCGCACCCAGCTGATTTCTTGTTTTGTTTTTAAGTTTTGTGTGTGTTGAGGCAGGCTCTTGTGTAGCTCACAGACGGGCCTTGAACATGCCACGTAGCTGAGGATGACTTTTAACTTCCAAACTTCCTTTCTCTGCCTTCCAAGTGCTAGAAATACGGGTGAGTGCCGCCAAGCCTGGATCTGCTGTTATTGTAATGGAAATTCTTCATGACTGTTCTCTATACTTTGTTATTGCCTACAGAATTGCTAACTACGTCTGTGTGGGCATATAAACAGGAAACCTTGTGGGATTGAGGGAAGTATCAAAAGGGAACAGCAAGGGATAGTGAGGAACATCAAAAGAGAAACATTGAGACAGATCTTTAGGAAAACACCAAGAGAGCACTGGGAAGAGCATAGGAAGAATAAATCGAACATGTTATAAAAATTTATGTGGGCTATTTTATTTCATTTATCCTCAGAGCTTTTTTAGTCAGTTTTTACCTGCTTTAGCATTCCTTCTGAATCCTGAGAGGCTTAAGGGGGCTGGCACCCCAACATAAACATTAATAGATAAATTCAAGGAACTCTGGAGAGTCAATTGGCTAACACTCTCTCCATTTTTTTGATCCACCAGCCCCAGAAATTCCCTTTTCTGTCTTCTTGCCCCTCTCTATAAGGCTACCTCTGAAGCAGAATTAATAAAAACTCAGAGAAAGAAATTGGGGTTCAATCTGAAGGTCATAAAAGCAAAACAGTCAGCCACTGGCTCTTCTCTCTTCCTCAGTCTGAAGTGACAATCATACCTCCAAGAATCTCAGAATGAGGCTGAGTCTGAGAACTGTCTCCTCCTATTTTATAATTTTTTCTAGTTCTGGAATTAAAGGCATGCACCACTGCGACTAAAGTCACGAACTGCCCTGTTTCTCTAATAACTAGTGTAGCTACTGGGATTAAAAGTGTGTGTTATCATTGCCTGGTCTATGAGACTGAGCAGTGGGGCTGTTTTACCTGAAGATAAGACTTCAGGTAAGCTTTATTTATGAAATGCCACTACATTTAAGGTCAACATAAGAGCCAGTGGCTGGTTGTTTTGCTTTTCTGATCTTCAGATTGAACCCCAATTTGTATCTCTGAGGTTTTTTGTTTGTTTGTTTGTTTGTTTGTTTTGTTTTGTTTTCGGGTTTTTTTTTTGCATGCTTCACTCTTCAGTCCTCCAATGACTCCATGACTAATCCCAGTCAGTCAATTGTCAACTTTGTCCTTTGGTTCAAGTGGTTTTATTGGCCATTGGAATAGCCAAGCAAACAATTCTCCTGCAACATACACCTGCCATTTTCAATTGGATATCATTCTTAGACACAAAAGTATGCTTCTGGTGTTGTAGGGTAGCCTCCAGAGAAGATCACTTAGACAGTCTATAGCCATTTGAAAGTCTCTATCCAAGCCAGGTGGAACTACATTCAGGTAATTGGGGCCCAAGTGTAATGCTAAACATTTAGAGTAAATGAGCAAAACAAAACCTATATCCTGTTCAAATCTTGGAGATTTATAAGAAGACAGTTTAACAAAAGCCAAGATAAGTTAGCTGAGACATTGAACTTGAGTTCCTAGAATGGAGCTGCGTAGTTTTCCATTAGGCTTCTCATCAAGGAAGTCAAATTCTAGTTAAACCTCAAATGACCTCAGCAAGCACACAAGATGAAGGACTCTCTGCCCTGTTTCCCTGGCACACTGAACTCTCTTGTTTTGACTTGCATGTTAATTTTGTTATACACATGTCTGCACATGGCCATATTGACATTGAGTCTGTGATCATGATATAAATGTCTAGGTTTTTGTTGTTGTTGTTGTTGTTGTATAATTATTCCTTTTTAAGAGATGTAAATTAAATAATAATGAAGCAATAATATGAGAAGTATGGGAAAATTCCAGAAGACTGACAACACCTAATGCTGGAAGACTCTCTACAAAAGATGTCCTCATTCATTGGTGGTGGAGGTGCATAATGATTCAGCCACCTTAGAAGATAATTTGATTATATATTTTTAACATAATCCTTTATTGATTCTTTGGGAATTGAACATCATGCACCACAATCCTGCTCACCTACTGGTCCCTCCATGTCCACCCCTCACTCCCCACCAATGGAGCCCCCAAAATTAACTTAAAACAAAACCAAAACAAAAAAATACCTTGCTCCCCCATATTTCCAGTTCCTCTTCTTTCATCCTAGTGACATCAGGAACTGTTGTGTGTCACAAAGTCACCCTTTTGTCTAGTCAGCCCCACCTGCAAAATGTTC